ATATATTTTTTTTTTTTTTTTTAATGTGTATTGAGAGGAAAAAGATTGTTTATATCTGTTTATTATATCACTTTAGTTTTAGAATCTGTCGAAATATATAATTATTTTTCTAATAAAGAAAACATATAGTTTTAAATAAATACATTTCACATTTAAAGAATCAATATTAATGTACATTGGAGAAATAATATTACATATATACAAATAAATTTAAATTAAAATTTTTTAATTAATAATAAAAATATTTTAATTTACATCTTCTATTAACAATTTAAATTAAGAATTAATACAATTCCCTACAATGCGTATCGCTTGTCTTTTCCGTTTCACAGTGAACGTCTTTTTCGGATTGAGTAAATATACAATATTGTATCGAACAGATGCACGCGATATACATATATACATTCGCATACCCGCTTACAGAGACAAGAGATTCCCTTTTCTCGCCGTCGTTCATTCGCAGTTTCGACAGAGGAGCAATTACAGACACCAGAGCGCTGATGCACACTTTACCGCCTTGAAAGGAGTCAATCCGTTTACAAGAGCGAGCAAGAGTCGTTCGACTCGCCGAACGAAGTAAAAGCAGCCTTTCGCATCTTCTCTTGCCACGAAATTGCCAATCGATCGAACGCGCCGACTTAAAGTGGCTGCGTTTCCCTAGAAAGCTCGTAGTCTCGACGACTTTTGCACCGGCCTATCTCTCCCGGATTCTCGAAGAAATTAACGCCATGTCCGTTTCACCGGCAAATATATATTTTTTTTGTTAGATTCTGAAAAGTTTGCGTAAAATCACGGAAAGCTCTTCACGACGTAATCGAAGATTAGATCTCGCAGAGACGGAAATTTTTGTTGGTCGTTTCGGTTTAATTCGGTCGCGATTTTCGATCCGCTTTAGGGGAAACAGTATGTCGTTTAAAGTCACGGTCGCGTAGCAGTGTTAATCCGAAAGTTTTTCTAATGGCACTACGTTTCTGCCACATAATGGCTCGAAACAAAATTAAACAGCATTACAACTTTCGAGCTGTGTGCAAGATCTGCGCAATTAACGATTATTTTGTTAGCGGAAACGAGTTTACTTATCAACTCCGCTAAGCTATATGGACCACAGCTCATTGTATATTCATTAAAGAATAATATCTGCTCGTATATTTTGATTCGTAATTAGTATAGAGTTATCTTTTAAATGCCTCAGAAGAAAGTGACAGTTATTAATTTTCTTTTTTAACACACGCGTAAATGAGAGAACAAAATATTGAAAGTGACATTTTTATAAAAATATGCAATGAAAAATTTCATTATTCTCTCTCTCTCTCTCTTTCTATTTCTTTCTCTCTCTACTCTGGTTCAAAAGATTATAAATAAAATATTTATAGATATAAAATTTATAAATATTATATTTATATAATATTTATA